TTGGTAGCCCAGGCTGGCCTCGAACTCACAGAGATCCACCTGGCTCTGCCTCCCGAGTGCTGGGATTAAAGGCGTGCGCCACCACCGCCCGGCGTCTATTTTGTTTTGAGACAGGGTTTCTCTGTGTAGCTTTGGAGCCTGTCCTGAAATTCGCTCTGTAGACCAAGGTAGCCTTGAACTCACAGAGATCCACCTGCCTCTGCCTCCCGAGTGCTGGGATCAAAGCCATGTGCCACTGCCGCCACCACCACCCAGCTTTTTTGTCTGTTCTTTAGAGACAGGGCCTTACTGAATAGCCCAGGTTAGTCTCAAAGGAGAGCTTCCTGTCTCAGCTCACAAGTGCTGGGAACTACCTATGCATGCCCACCCCACTTTCTTTTCTTTTTTTTTTTTCTTTATCTTTTTACACAGGGTCTCACTATGTTGTTCTGGCAGGCCTGGTACTTTCTACGTAAACCAGACTGGCCTCAAACTCACAGAGATCCTCCTGCCTCTGTTTCCTGAGTGCTGAGTTAAAGGCACACACCCAACTTTAACTTTTTTGATGTATCTTCTCTCATAAGGAGGAGTGTAACTCCTCCCCCTCTGAGCACTGACTGGAACATTCTGGGCTTTCTCATGGATAGAATGGGGGCAGAAATGATAGTCATTTCTGAAATGAGGTCATGAAAAAAACCGACTTCCTTCCTTTCTCTGTCTTTTACCTCTAAGTGTGAGAACACCAGCCGCCATTCTGTGAGCCTGCTCACCTGACCTGATGGAAAGCAGCCCAGCTGGTTTAGAACTTAAGTCTCTTGCCTATGCCTGCGAGGGTGACCTTACACATGGCTCTCCAGCCTTCATCAAGCCTTCGGATTAGACTGCAGCCTGGCGGACAGCATGCCGACAAGCTTGGGAGAGACCCTTCACCACAAACTACTTCCTCATGGGCTGTGATAATTGGGTTTGCTTGTCAGCTTGTCAGGATTCGGAATCACCATGGAAACTAGCCTCTGGGTATGTTTGTGAGCGAGTTTCTAGACCGAGTTCACAAGGGTGGGAAGACTCACGCTAACTGCGGGCAGCACCATCCCATCGCTGAGATCCCAGAGTATATAGAAAGAAGAAATCAAACTGAACACCAGCATCCACCTCTTCCGGGGCTCTGATTGTGTGACCAGCCACCTCATGCGTCACGTTCTCCCCACCATGACGGACCGTAACCCCTCAAACTGTGAGCTACAACCAAGTCTTTCCTCCTCATTGCTTTTTGTTGGCTCTCTTATCACAGCAAAGGGAAAAGTAACTCCATGGCAATGAGAAAACTAATACACACACAGAAACTACATAGTAACAAATGCTTGTTTGAAGCTGTAGCTTGGGAATATTTGTGACACCCATGGCTGGCACACCCAGGTTTGACTCTCAGCCCCTTGGGCAAAACTGCTCCCCTCTTCTCTCACCCGTTATCTGATGGACCCATTTTCATCACAAAAAAACCACTCTGGCCAGGTCGCTGCCAAGGGCGCCGGCCTACCTGACTTGTCGTGGACAATGGAGAAGAGGATGCGCTTGGAAGCATGGACATTCTGGATGAGAGGCCCAGCAGGTCCTGCGGGCTTCTGTCCTGAACAAGGGGGAAAGAGAGGCATACATTTTGGAGGGGTCCCACATACCTCAGAGAAACTAGAACTGAGCCTGGCGATCGGGAGGTTCCAGGCTAGATCCCTAAGTACAAATCTCAGTTGCTCTAAACCAGACTTGGCTATCCGGAGGCAGATACCACAAGAGCAGGATGCTAGGCTCGCCTTCCCTTTCTCATTCTTTTAATCGCATTTATTCATTTATCTATAAAGATCAAATGACAATTTGTGGAAGGCAGTTCTCTCTTACTATGTGGGTCCCAGGAATTAAACTGAGGTCACTGGGCTTGATGACAAATGTCTTTGGCTAGGCAAGCACTAGATCAACTGAGCCATATCCTCCAACACCCAAGTCTGAAATGTCTAATTTAGGAATTTTTTTTCCCCCCAGACAGGCTTTCTCTGTGTACTAACTCTGGCTGTCTGGGAACTCTCTTTGTAGACCAGGCTGGTCTCGAACTCACAGAGCTGTGCCTGCCTCTGCCTCCCAAGTGCTGGGATTAAAGGCATGTACCAACACTGCCCGGCTGCTTTAGGAATCTTGATCCCAAGTATCTTAGATAAGGGATACTCCATAAGCATTCCACTTTACAAATGAAGAAACTGAGGCTCAGAGAGATTGAGACTTGCCTTGGCATACACAGCCAGGATAGAGCCCACATCTTCGTCACCCCCAGCTGCTCCTTCTCTTAGGCCCCTAAATCTTGAATCCAAGCAGGGTATGCAGAAGGTGCTCATTAAGTGCATATGGGCATTTTATTCCTTTTTTAATTACATTCATCTCTGGTGGGTGTGCGCATGCGTGGAGGTCAGAGGACAACTTGTGGGACTCAATTTTCCTCTTCCACTACATGATTCTCAGAGATTGAACTCAGGTCATCAAGCTGGTTGGTTGGCAAGCACCTTTACCTGCTGGACCATCTCATCATCCCTGATTAGTTTATTTATGCTCTTCACAGCCTCCTGGGGCTGTGAAGATGCCTTTTGGTCCCATTCAAGGTCTGTTCAGAAGGTCAAGTGGAGGCCCCAGTTTAACTGGGTCTCAATAGAATCCAAGTGGCAAGACCCACCCCTGCCCAGAATTGCCGCCTCCTCCGAGGCAACCACCCAGAGAGACATGCAGGTCCCCACTGCAGCATTTACCACAGCAGTCGGAGAAATCTTGGGCACTGGGGACCTGGGGCTCAGGCACAGGCCAGCCCAAGCCCAGGTCGCTGGGGGTCAACGGGCAGGTGGGCGCCTCCTGCTTGAGTTCCCGGATGGTGTGGTTGGGCATCGACGTGCTGTACAGGAAGTTGGCCATGGAGGATGGGGTGGCGGTGGGGGGCAGGTCCTGGGGAGTGACCTTGGAGGCCTGGCCATGCAGACCGCAGTCTCGGGACCCCTTGGGTAGCAGGGAGATACCGTTCATCTCCACCAGCGCCTTTGCATCCCGCCCACCATCATCAGGAGGCCTGGGTGAAGGAGAGGAGATAGTGACTGCTTTGAATACCTACTCTTGCCTGTCAATCTCTCCCTTTACAGCCCATGTAACACACTCTACAGAATATAACAGACCCGCAGGTATTCCAATGGGGTGGGATGGGAGCCAGGCCCTACATTATGGGTAGGGATGCAAGCCTGGCAGCGTGGGTATAATGCACCCGATACTAGGTGGCAACCACCGTCGGACCCAGGCCTGTACCAAGCTGCCTCAGATCTCCAAGCCACCCATCCCATCCTCCACGTGGCTCCTTCCCACCCCATAAGATTTAGCAGCTATATGCAACATGAAGTCCCCAGCTCTGCTGGGCCCATGGTATCCACCTTAGCCCAGGCTTGACCTCACCTCTCATCTGTCATTTATGACTCTCATTCACAGCCCAAGCTCACATCCAGGGCAGGCGGCTCTCCCAGCTCAAGATTTTTAAAATGAATTCATGTTTCTGAGACAGGGTCTCATGGAGCCAAGGTAGCCTCAAACTTACTATGTAGTTGAAGATGGCCTTGAACTCTTGGCCCTCTGACCTCTACTTCCCCAAAGGGCTGAGATTATAGGCACACGTCCCTATATGACAATCTCAACTCTACACACCATCATCCTTTGTCCATGACCTCTGCAAAGCCTTTGGTGTGGCTCTTTCCTAAGCCAGAATTCTCCCGGACGCTGTGACACAGAATTCCCTCATAGCCATGCCCTGACTCAGATTACACTGTATGACTGGGTCTTAGCTCCATGAGACCCAAAGCTTTCCTCATGAGTTCCCTCAGGGTGTCTCCAGCTTTCTGCCCTCTGGCTGGGTATGGGGGGGTAACAGATCTGTCTGTCTTTTTTTTTGGGGGGGGGGAGGCGGAGACAATCTCACTACATCGCCCAGGCTGGCTTGGAATCTGCCTCTCCCTCACTGGTACCAAGATTAAGCTGTGCACCTCCACATCCTGAAAGTTTTAACTCTCAACTTGACATTATCTGCAACCACTTGGGAAGAGAGTCTCAAAGAGGGGTTTAGACTAGGCTGGCCTGTGGACACGTCTGTGAGGAGACTGTCTTGATTACGCTGAGGCGGGACGGCCCAGCCCACTGTGGGTGGCATTATTCTCTAGGCAAGGGATTCGGAACTGTCTAAGAGTAGAGAAAGCAAGCTGAGCTGGCGTGCATGCCTGAATTCATTGCTTTTGGCTCTTGACTGTGGATATAACGTGACGAGCAGCTTCCAATTCCTGTGGACTCGACCTCCCTACAGTGATGGACTGGAACCTGGGATTGTGAGCCAAATAAGCCCTTTCTCCCATAATGGGCTTGTGTTGGTATTTTTAACCCAGCAAAAGGAAAGAAAATTAGGACAGGGGCTTACTTACCTCCTGAGCTTAAACCGTATTCGGTGGCTGTGCTCCAAAATGGCCATGAGCGCCTTGGGGTCATACTCGGCTGGCCTCCGGAAGGCCAGGCCCTCGGGCAGTCCCTGTACAGCCAGTAGCCCCGGCTCCCTGAGCAGCCTCTCATAGGGCAAAGGGACCACGCTGGCCCTGCCCATAGCCTCACCTGCCAGAGAGTAAACAGTGAGGCTCAGTACTGGCGGGGGGCTCGGCTGGACACACTGGGAGCCAGGCAATGCGTGGTGACTCCCCCTGGGAGAGGGGCCCTGGGTCCCTCCTTGCTGGAGACGCGGTACAGAATGAACAACACCAGCCTGGAGACAGAGCCCTACCGTGTATGTCTGAGGGCTGGAGAGAGGAGGCAGGAGAGCCCTTATGCCAAGCTGGTAGACTGAACTTGGCCGGTGATGGTGCACGGAATTTTAACCTCAGGCTTATCTTTTGGGAAGAAAGCCTTGGTCTCGGAATAACCAGGAGGCAGGAGGGAGTGGTCTATTGGAAGACCATGTCAGTGGGGGTGGGGAGGTGGTAAGAGGTGGCTATACAGGAAAGGTGCCTGGACGGGGACACTCGTGCCTGGGAGTTTGGAGATGGTAGAGAAAGCCCTGTCCTGGGGTCTTGTTTTTGCTCAGGGGTCCTACAGCGCAGAAGGGGTCTGCTCTACTGGGTGAGATGGGGGGAGGGCCAGGCCGTGCGGGACCAGGATGAGGTGGGTAGAAGACAACTGGGTAGAGCTGGGCAGAAGTGAGCAGGGCTAGGCTGGGGGCTGGGTGGGGTAAGGGCAGGGCTGACCTGGGTAGGGTGTTGCTGAGCAACTATCCTGGGCGGGCCGGGCGAGATAGAACTGGGCTAAAGTGGGTAGGTAGGGCAAAGCTAAGCAGGGCTAGATAGAGAGTGGGCGGAGCTGGGTTGAGACAGAACGAACGGGATTGGATTAGAGTACGGCCGGGAGGGGCGGGGCTGAGGCGGGCGGGGCTAAGGTGGGTGGGGATTGGATTAGAATATGGCTGGGTGGGGCGGGGTCGAGGTGGGCGGGGCTAAGGTGGGTAGGGCACAGCTGAGCAGGAGTGGGCTATGGTAGGTAAGGAAGGCTAAGTAAGCAGTGCGGAGCTGGACCGGTCTTGGTGGAGCGTGGCTGGGTGAGGCACAGCTCCACACAGCTGGGCAGAAGTGGGTGGGGTCTAGGCTGGGGGCAGATAGGGCAGTGCTGACATGGTTGCTGGGCAGGGCTAGGCTGAGGTGGGCAAGGCTTGCAGGGTTGAGCTTGGTAGGGCAGGGCCAGACCGGAGTAGGCTGAGTTGGGTGGGGTGGGGTGGGGCAGAGCTGGTGTGAGGCAGGTGGGGCTAAATTGGATTTGGCAGGGAAGCCCTGGGCTGAAGTGGATGAATAGGGCTGAGCAGGACGTGGGGAAGGGCCCGAGCTGGGGTGGGCGGAGCTAAATCAGCTAAGGCTGGGCCGAGACTGGCAGAGCAGGTGAGGCTAGGATTGAAGTATGGCTGGAGGAGGTCGGGTCAAGGTGGATGTGGTTACACTGGGAAGGCATGGCTGGGCTGACCTGGATACGGTGGGACTGGGCTAGGAGGAGAGGCTGGGTCAGACACCAGTGGGCGGAGCAAAGGCAGGATGGAATGAAGTGGGATCCAGCCGGGTGGAGTGAGGCTGGGCTGAGGTGGGCGGGGCTGAGCTGAGGTGGGCGGGGCTGGTCTGGAAAGGACTGAACCTAGACAAGGCAGGTGTGGGTAGGCTGGTCTCCCACCCGCCCCTTTCCGGAATGGAATGAGGAAGGATCTTACTATAAAGAACATCAAACACTTCCTCTACCATCTTCTGCAGCAGGTACACATCCGAGCACTGCTCCAGTGAGGACCGCGGGATGCTCCGGCCACCACCCTCACAGCGTTGCACCTTTTTAGGGTGTCCTGCTTCTGGATCCTTCCATAGGGGTCCCCCTGTGGGACAAGAGCACAGGAGCCGTAGGTTGGTGTTAAGGCCCGGAATCGGAGGCACAAGTGACTGACTGAATGAATGGGCACCCTGCTGAGAGCCCAAAGGCTGCAGGTGTCAATCTGGCCACACACTTTTCGGTGGACCTCAGGGTTGTGCCTTCCCTCTCTGAGCCTCAGTTCGCGATTGTTCAAAGAAGCCCGTGGAGTCCCGCTCAGAACTGGGACTCCATGAACATCTGTTTCACACACCATATTCTATATTCATATTTCAACCCACCTAAGCCCTACTTTTCCTGCTCGGCCCACATGGAAAACAATGGAGATATGGTGATGGTTAGTTTTAAATGTCAATTTGCCACAATCTGAGAAGGATGTCTCCAGTGGATTATCTAGATCACTGGTTCTCAACCTGTGGGCCATGACCCCTTGTGGGGTGGGGGGTGTCAAACAACCCTTTCACAGGGATTGCCTGTTGTTGGTCTTTGGTCTTTTTGGGGGAGGCCGTCACCCAGCTCCCAAATAAATACACACGGAGGCTTATTCTTAATAATGCATGTCCGGCCCTAGCTTGGCTTGTTTCTTGCCAGCTTTCCTTGACTTAACTTATCCCATTTACCTTTTGCCTCTGGGCTTTTCCCATTCTCTTATGTAAATCTTACTCTTACTCCTTGGTTGGTTGTGTAGCTGGGTGGCTGGCCCCTGGGGTCCTCCTCCTTCTAAGGCTCCTAGCTCTCCAATCCCTCTTCCCAGATTTCCCCTTCTATATATTCTCTCTGCCTGCCAGCCCTGCCTATCCTTTCTCCTGCCTTGCTATTGGCCGTTCAGTTCTTTATTAGACCAATCAGGTGTTTTACACAGGCACAGTATCACAGCTTCACAGAGTTAAACAAATGCAACATAAACAAAAGCAACACACCTTAAAATAATAGTCTACCACAGTTGTCTAAGACCATTGGAAAACACAGATATTTACAGTACAATTCATAGCGGTAGCAAAATGACAGTTATGAAGTAGCAATGAAAATAATTTTATGGTTGGAGGGGTCACCATAACCTGAGGAACTGTATTAAAGGGTCACAGCATCAGGAAGGTTGAGAACCACTGTGCTAGATCAAATGGCCTGTGGACACAGATATGTAAGTGGGAAATCGTCTTGATTGTTAACTGACCCAGCCCATCGTGGGCAGCACCATTCTCTAGGCAATGGGGCTCTGAGGCATATGAAACAGGAAAAAGCTAGATGAGAACAAGCTCCCTGCTCTTGACTGTGGACGGGACGTGATTATCAGCTTGAGTTCCTGCCTTGACTTCTCTGAAATAAGACTGCAACCTAGAATCATTTAGTAAAATAAACCCTTTTCCCCCTTGGTTGTTTTTGTTTTTTGGGTTTTTTTTTTTTTGGGGGGGGGGTTGTTAGGGAATCTTTAAGAAATATTTTAGTTCTTTGGGATAGGGTCTTTGTACATAGACCAGGGTGGCCTTGAACTCACAGAGATCCGCCTGCCTCTGTCTCCCAAGTACTGGGATTAAAGGCATGTTAGAAGCTCCAACAGAACAGAGGAAGAACAGGGTCTTGTGATCCCTTCCAGCTTGGAGCTGGCTCTCCTTGGCAACCATCCAAGCTTGAAATAAACTATCCTGATTCTGAGGGCTATAAATAGCCACTCTTTCTGGCTGTGGAAAATAAGGCACGCTGTCCCCAGGAGGCTGGGAGGGGCTACAGGACCCCACTACACCCACTCCTAGAAGCCAGCTCCACCCCAACCTTAGAGACAGAACAGGCTGGGAGAGCAGAGCAGGTGGAGTCTCGGGCTCCTGGGGAAACAGCTATATGCTCCAGCTACGTACCCCACTAATGATACATGCAGTGCTGGATCAATGTGGGGCGGCTAATCCTAGGGATAAGGCCCAGGAGACCATAAAAACTACTAACGAAACTATCAACAGCTGGTACCTGGGTGTCCACAGAGATCCCTGGCACCCCCCTCCACCCCAGGGATATGAAATAGGAGAAAGCTAGACAAGTTCTATCCTTGACGTTGAAGGGATTCGGGAGAAAGAGCAAGGGTCTGAGAACAGGAGTCCGGGCCTTGAATCATGCTCCCTGGGATGGCTATTCTTGGTTGTCATGGTGATTTGACTAAGAATGGCCCCCACAGACTCTTAGACCTGAATGCCTGGTCACTAGGGGAGTGGTGCTATTTGAAAGGATGAGGAGGTGTGGCTTTGCTGGAGGAGGTGTGTCACTGGGGGGAGCTTTGAGGTTTCAGAAGCCTACGCCAAGCCTGGGATCTGCTGCTGCCTGTGGACCTGGATGCAGAACTCTCAGCTCCCTCTCCAGCACCACGTCTGCCTGCACGCCGCCCTGCTTCCCATCATGATGAGAATGGACTAAACCTCTGAAATTGTCAGCCAGCCCCAGTTACATAGTTTGCTGATAAGAATTGCTGTGGTCAGCCAGGGCGGTGGTGGTGCACACCTTTAATCCCAGCACTCGGGAGGCAGAGGCAGGCGGATCTCTGTGAGTTCGAGGCCAGCCTGGGCTACCAAGTGAGTTCCAGGAAAGGCGCAAAGCTACACAGAGAAACCCTGTCTCGAAAAACCAAAAAAAAAGAATTGCTGTGGTCACGGTGTATGTGTGTCTCTTCATAGCAACAGAACACCGACTAAGACAGTTGTGAAACTGACTAAACCTGGAATTAACGACAATCCCAAAGACTGGGCACACCTGTGAGGGATTTTTTTTTTTCCTTAATTAAATCATTTGAAGTGGGAAGGCCCATCACTTCTAATCCGAATCTTTGGGGTGGGAAGATAAACCTTTAATCCAGATCTCTTGAGGTGGGAAGATCCACCTTTAATCTGGGCCACACCTTCTGCTGGCAGCCTAGATAAAGGTCACAGAAGGAGGAGGCTGGCACACTCTCTGCCTGCTTGCCCTCACTCTTGCTGGCCAGTCCACTCCTTCACTGGCATTAGAACCTCCTTCTTCAGGATCCTAGCGTATCCTGAAGACCAGCTGAGGCGTCCAGCCTCGTGGAGTTAACAGTTACTGAATTTTTGTTGTTCTTGTTTGTTTTGTTTTTCAAGACAGGGTTCTCTATGTAGCCTTGGCTGTCCTGGAACTCGCTCTGAGACCAGGCTGTCCTGGAATTCACAGAGATCCACCTGCCTCTGCCTCCCGAGTGCTGGGATTAAAGGCATGGACCACCACTACTGCCCGGTAGATACTTCACAACTATTGGATTCTTGGACTTTCTGTTGGCAGGCAGCCATTGTTGGAATAGCTGGACCACAGCCTGTAAGCTACTCTAATAAACCGTATGTGTGTGTGTAACAAAATTTTCCCTCCTGTAAGTTCTGTTTCTCTAGAGAACCCTGACTACTACACACACCTTCCAACCTGGGCTAAGGCAGTGGGGAGGAGGAATATGTCCACCGTGCCTCATCTGTACACCATGGGTGACATTTTCATGACCCTCTGGGAAAGGTAATGAGGTTTCGGGCCAATGGCCCTGCATGAAGTGTTGTTTGAGTCTGGTGTTGCTGGGGATGGAACCTAGGGCCTGAGGAACGCTAAGTAAAGTACTCTGCAGCCAAGCTACCCTCCTGGGGGACTGTAAGCCGGCACTCTACCTCGCAGGCCCACCCGACCAAGAGCTGTCCATCACTCACAGCCCATGCAAACTGAGCACTTCTTACCCCAAAACAAACAACAAAAACATTTGTCGCCCCACAAGGCCTCAGAGGTCAGAATAAGTGATTTTGCATCAAGTGTCATACACTCGCCGGGCGGTGGTGGAGCATGCCTTTAATCCCAGCATTTGGGAGGCAGAGCCAGGTGGATCTTCTGTGAGTTCGAGGCCAGCCTGGACTACCAAGTGAGTTCCAGGAAAGGCGCAAAGCTACACAGAGAAACCCTGTATCAAAAACCAAAAACAAACAAACAAACAAACAAAAAAGCGTCATACACTCACACGTGCTAAATATCTTAGCTGGAAAACGGCAGGTCCCTAACCTCAGTCAGACTCAGTCAAGAGGTAGAACTGGGAGCTGGGAATGTGGCTCCTTTGGCAGGACGCTCACCTAACATGCACCAAACCCTGAGTTCCACACCAGCACCCTAGACACCAGAAGAGGAGGTAAGTGCCTTCCCCACCTGGGCAGGTAAAGGCCAGGGAACCAGGAATTCAAGGCCAGCCTGGGCTACAGGAGAACCTGTCTTAAACAACAGGGAGTCAGCAAGAGGGCCCAGCAGGTCAAGAAGCTTTCGCCCACGCCCGAAGTCCTGAGTTCAAATCCCAGGACCCACGTGGTGGAAAAGAAAATTGACTCTAGCAAGTCTTCTGATGTCTATATTCACGCCAAAGCGTGTGCATGCCCACACACTTGCACACTATATAAATAGAATAAACAGAAAAAATAAAAACCAATAAAAAAAAAAGGTAAACAGTAAAAAAAAAAAAAATAGGTAGAACAATAGCTGAGGGTATGACTCAGTAACAGTGCTCTTGCTTAATAGGCATGAGGGTCCAGGTTCAATCCCCAGCACCATTAACAAATAGAGTAGAATCAGGTGATTGCTCTAGGCCTCAGTGTTCCCCTCTAAAAATGGGCATATGGACATGACTAGTGGTAGGCTTCAGTGATAGGCATTGCCAGGCTCCATTTGGAACAAAGCTGCGTCCAGTTCATCCCTCCAACAGGCTCTGCGGACTGGACAAAGCAGAGGATACAGAGAGATGGGCCAGGACCCTTGTCCTTCAGAAACAGCAGGGCCCTGGGCATGGAGGACGTGGGGTACTCACGGCAGAACCTGAGGAAGTCTGACTGGAGCTCCTTCCGGGTGTTCAGAAACATCCGTCCCTTCTCGGTGCCCATCACGAAGACGCTCTCATTGTGCACAGCCACACAGGCCACCTCCGTGTTCAGCTTGGAGAGCGCCGAGCACTGTGGGGGAGGGGCAGGGGGTGTGAGCTAAATCAAGACTAGCCTGGAACCCAGCACGGCTGTATGCTGTGCCTGTAATCCAGCACCCGGGAGGCTGAGAACAGGACGGTGGAGAGTTTGAGGCTAGCCCTAACTACAGAGACGGGAATACCAGTGAGAGATGGACCCTCCAGCCCACTTAACAGCCTTCTCTAAACCGTGAAAACCGGGCACCATGCAGCCTGGAGAATATGGCAGTAGAATTTCAATAGACTCGTTATAGGAAAAGGATCTCTCTAAGCAGGGCCGGCTGGCAAGGTGGCTCAGTGGGTAAACTGCTGGTCTTCTAAGCACAAAGACCTGAGTTCGATTTCGAGCACTCATGTTAAAAGGGTTGGGAGTGAGATGGGGTGGGGGTGGGGTGCAGTGGGGGCCAGGCTGTTAGTGGGTAAAGCATTTGTGGCAGAAGCTTAGGGACCAGATTGGATCACCAGCACCTATATAAATTTTGGGGAGCTGTGGCAGTGCTCCTAACACCCCATCAATTGAGAGGTGTAAGCAGGGGATCCTGGGAGCTAGCTGATCTCAGTGTATAAGACAGTGATGGAGGAAGACTCCAGTCATCAACCTCTGGCCTCCACACACAGCGCAATCAGGTCTTCTGAGCATAGAGAGCCTCCTTTCCAGATTGCTCCGGCTGCGGGCTGCTCCAGGTGCAAGCACATCACACACACACATACGCACGCACGCACGCACAGCCAGGTATGGTGGCACACACCTGTAATTCCAGCACTGGGGAAATTGAGACAGGAGAATCCATGGGGCTTTCTGGCCGGCCAATCTAGTTCACTTGATGAGTTCGGGCCAGTGAGAGATCCGGTCTCAAAACTAAAACAACATGATCTACAGCTATCCCACCCTGAATGTGCCTGGCCTCATCTAATCTCAGAAGCGAAGCATTGTTGGATGGGAGTCTGCTTGTAAGTACTAGGTGCTATAGGCTTTGCTGCGTATGCTGGCTCACATCTGTCATCTCAGCACTCAGGGAGGCTGAGGTAGGAGGATTGCTATGAGTTCGAGGCCAGCCCGGACTATACGGTAAGTTCCAGGTCATCCTGAACTGTACAATGAGATCCTGTTTCAAACAAACAAGCCAAGAAATAAAATAAAAACAAGGTGAATGGTACCTGGAGAATGAAACCCAAGGTTGGCTTGTGGACCCTACATGCATGCATACAACACCTGCACCCACTCATACCCACACAACATGCATGCATATAACACCTCCACCCCCAGCTGGCCTCACACAGAATTCTAGGTGGTGTACTTTTGTGGCCTGAAGTTATGACCAAGACACAGTATGAAAATCCTTGAAAGCAAAACTCTGTAAACCCTGTGGCACAAAATTGGCGCTTAATAAATGCTCGTCTTTGTGCCAACTAGCATTTTAAGAAGTTCTACTGTGGAATAATCCTTTGGTACACTGTGAAGATGTGTTGCTCTCATTGGTTTAATAAAGAGCCAACTACTAGGCAGGAGGAGGTTACGTGGGAGAGTGAGACTGAGAGAGTGCTCAGAAGAAGGGGAGAGTCACCAGCCAGAGGCCGAGGAAGCAGGAGATGAACATGCTATGTTGAAAAAAAGGTACCATCGTGTGGTAGAGCGTAGATAAGAATTATGGGTTAATTTAAGTTGTAAGAGCTAGTTAGTAACAAGCCTAAGCTACTGGCCAATCATTTATAATTTGTAAGTCTCACTGTGTGGTTATTTGGGAGCTGGCTAGCAGGACAAAAAACCCCTCCTACAAAGTTCTGCCCTGTGTGACCCTAAGGCAAGTTCTTCAACCTCTCTGGACCACAAGCCCACCTTTTGTGACAGCCTTAGCCAAGCAGGAGTCCCTGGGGAGGACTGTTAAGTTTCAGGACAGCCTACAGTGTAAAAGATTGACTCAAAACAACAAAATGAAAACAGCCACATGTGGCTGGTGGCACTGCCCATCAGGTCACATGTCAGTCATACCCACCACCACCGACAGGTGGATGAGGTTCAGGACATAGTGGTGGCCACTGTAGAGAAAGAGTTAGCACCCAGCTAATTTCTGAGGGTGTCTCCCACCTCGGGCGTTAAATATGACTTTGAGCAGCCTACAAGAACTACCTAGAAATGAGGTCCCCTATGCTCAGGAAACCAGTGACTCACTGTGTGACCTAAAGCAAAATGCTGCCTTCTCTGAGTTTCCACTTTATCATCAGAAAATGCCAACGGATGCTAGGCAGATCTACTTTTTGTTTTCACTGCTTGTGTGTGTGTGTGTGGTGCTGGGATTCAAACCTAGAGCCCTACTCCATGTGTTTAAGCTCAGTCTTGTCCTTTCAGGGTTCCACTCTGTAGCCCAGGATGGTCTCAAAATCAAGATCTTCCTATTGCAACCTCCCGGCTGTGGGATTCCAGGGACATGTAGACACAAACATACTTCGGTACATTCATACATACATACGCATCTGGGTCTACACACACACACACACACACACACACACACGTTTGCACGTGTGTGGAGGCCAGAGGACAAACTTAGCTGCTGTTCCTCAGACACCATTCATAATTGCTTTTCTATTTGTTTGTTTGTGTTTAAGGTGGGGTCATTTACTGACCTGGAACTCTGCCTAGTAGGCCTCCTTAACACTGGGATTACAAATGTGTGCCCCCAGGCCTGGCTTTTTTATCTGGATTCTGGGGGGGATTGAACTTAGGACCTTATGGTTGCAAGGCAAGCACTTTATCACTTGAGCTACCTCTCCCCACTCTCCAGAGATAAAGAGATTTTGATGGGCATACCCTCTCCGAGGTCTCCCACCTTTGATCTCGGGCCCTCTTCCCACCTGACCAGACACTCACCATGGAGTCTAAGGCGGACACCAGGCTGTTGATGAGCTCGTCCTTGCGGGTGAAGGTGGAGTTCCAGCGCTCAGACCCGCAGCCGTTGGTGGGGATGTCACAGTGCTTCCCCAGCAAGGCCATGGTCACCTAGAGAAAACAGTGAGGACACAGCGGGTATTAACACAAGGTACAACTGGGTGAGCACACCTGGTTCCCAGGGTCACCCGAATTCACAAGTGGGAAAGACTGCCAGCTGGCCTTCCTTCCCATCATTCAAGGACCTCAAAGGTATGACAGGAGACAGCAGAGATCTAAGTGAATAATGTACAACCATTTTCTCCCATTTGAAACATTTTCAGAGAATTTAAACATTCCCTCCTAAAGGGAGGCTCTTGAAACTCAAGGACAAAGCAATGTACACAACTCAGGAAGCTCAGGAAACTTATAAGGTTCAGAAAGTTCAGGAAACTGATAAGGCTCAGGAAGCTCAGGAAACTCATAAGGCTTAGGAACTCCAGAAATTCATAAGGCTCAGGAAACTCAAATTCATAAGGCTCAGAAAGCTCAGGAAACTCATAAGGCTCAGGAAGCTCAGGAAACTTACAAGACCCAGGAAACTCAGACGCTCACGAAGCTCCGGAAGCCCAGAAATTTGTAAGATTCACAAGGCCCCCCCTCCAAGTTTATAAATGCGGAGAGCAATAGTGTATGAGGGGCTGGAGCAGGGATACAGGATACTCTTCTGTAGAACTGTCTGTAGCCCATGCAGAGTTCCAGAGAGGCAACTTTTTGTGAGTGGCATCAACCAGGCTGAGGTGGGCTTTTTGGTGATGCAACTGACTTGAGTCACGCCCATTACAGCAAGAAGCCCCTCACCCACTGTGGTGGTCTGAATGAGAATGGCTCCCACCAGCTCACACATCTGAATGCTTTAGCCCCAGTTGGAGAACTGTTTGAGAAGGATGAGAAGGATGAGGAGGTGTGGTCTTGCTGGAGTGGGTGTGGCCTTACTGCAGGAAGTGTGTCGCTGGGGGTGGGCTTTGACGTTTCAAAAGTTCTCCCTCCGCCTGCTGCCTGTGGATCAGGATGCACAGCTCTCAGCTGCCGGTCCAGGGCCATGCCTGTCTGCTTCCTGCCATGACGACCATGAGCTAACTAAGCCTCTAAAACGGTAAGCAAGCCCTCCCTCAAATGCCTTTTTTTCCTACAAGTCGTCTTGGCCGTGTGTCTCCTCAGAGCAATAATGAAGACATCCTCTAACCAACCAAAACTCACTCACTCACTCATTCACCAAGCTAGCCTCGGATGGAATGCTTTCTTCAGTCTGTGGTCAGTGCCCTCCGGGGGCAGACGTTTGGTGGCGTCTCTCCATGACAAGACACACAACAGCAACACAGCTGAGGGTTATGCCCCCAAGGAACAGCCCCCCCCCCAGGTATTCAATTCATAACCAAAGCGAGCCCATTACCATGATACTGATCTGCCAGATAGGTTCTAACTGCCAGCGTTTTCCATGGATGTAACTCTAGTCACAGCCCTCTCCTGCTCGCACACCCTCCGTGGAGGCTCCCTACGTCCCACACATGTTGAACAAGGCCTTGCTTTACTTTGCAGCTTGGGCTGCTTGAACCTCTTAATCTTCCTTTCTTCTACCTATTAAGTACTGACTGGAATTACTGGCCTGTGTCCACATCCCTCTAACCAACCCTGCTGGAAAAGCACCTGACTGCCTCATCCATGGCGAGGCTGGGCATTGCCCTCTCTACACTCTGTACACACCTCTGGGCTTGGTCACGCGTCCCCAGATCAAGGCCACTGCCTTGAAGCCAGAGTCTATTTCCTGGATTTGGGACATGGACTTGGAGCAGGTACGGACAGCCACAACGGGGCACAGGCCACTTCCTCAAACTAGGGATTCCCCAGGAAAGGACTTTGTCCCAACTTACTGGGGCTCCACACAGCTCCTCCTTGAAAAGCCTCTTTGGCTTGCTCAACCCTAAATCCAAAGACAAGGCTGCTGATCGCTGGTGGCTGGCTTCATCCTGTTCTTCCAGAGCTGTTCCTAGGTGGGGGGGGGGGGGGGGGGGGTCCCTACATGCTGCCTCTGAGAGCACCAGCCCCTCACTAGACCAAAGGAGAGGAGGTAAGGGGCAGAAGCAGGGGCAGGACACTCTCTGGCTGGGTGTGTCATCCATGGATAGATCTACAGATTCCACACCCTGTTGCCACCTGTCTGGCACCTGTCAACAGAGCTTCGAGACGCTCACTGGGTGGGGTGGGGAAAAGCCAGGTGGCAGGGCCTCCAGGCCCACAGCCTAAAAGGGCACCAAGCCCAGGATGTCTGTGGCCACGACAACTGACTCCCAGGCTGTAAACTCCGCACGGGTCAATCTGTGTCTGTCCTCCATGGCTGACCCTCGCTCGGGGTCCAATTCACTGTCCGATGTGTTCAACGGACCAGGCACAGAATCCCAGACACACACACCCCCACCAACCTGGCTGCAGTGGGATGGGATGGGAACCTCAAAACAGCAGCAGGTGTCCTAGATGGGTATGAAGACGCCACACCAATAGCCAACACCAGACCATTAAAACAGAATAGAGAACAGAACCCAGCTCTGGACTCAGTACTGGCTCAGCTCTGCTCTTGGGCTACAGGAAAACACTGGTTTGAGGGCCAGTGAAATGGCTCAGAGAATAAAGGTCCTTGCTAAGGACCTGCGTGGATCCCCTGGGACCCACATAGTAGAAGGACAGAACTGACTCTTGCAAGTTGTCCTCTGACCTCCACAGGCATGTGGTGGCGTGTGCACACAGAGACATACATGTACATATACCAAAATAAGTAAGAAAGAATGCAAGGGAAGCCGGGTGGCGGCGGCGGTGCACGCCTTTAATCCCAGCACTTGGGAGGCAGAGGTAGGCGGATCTCTGTGAGTTCGAGGCCAGCCTGGTCTACAGAGCGAGATCCAGGAAAGGTGCAAAGCTACACAGAAAAACCCTGTCTCGAAAAACTAAAAAAAAAAAAAGCAGAGAAAAAAATAAAACAAATGGTTTGAGCAGGCCTACTGGCCCACCCTGCTATCTCAGGGTGACTCAGAAGACCAAAGCAGGAGCATCTCAAGTTCAAGGATAGCCTCGGCCACAGAGTGAGGTCAAGCCATCCTGGGAAACTTAGTGAAATTCTGTCTCCACTAACAACAACAACAACAAAAATGATTATAAGAGGGCTGTGTATATAGCTCAGCAGCAGAGCACCTGCCTAGAATCGCCCAGTGAGGGGCTGGGGTGTGGCTCAGTGGTAGAGCACCTGCCTAGAATCCCCCAGTGAGGGGCTGGGGTGTGGCTCAGT